ATTTGACGGACTAGTTACACAATATGGGATCAACAAGAAAAGATTTTTAGAATATCAACAAATTAAACCCATAGTAAAAAAGAAATTTAAACCGGGTCAAGTTGAACTACAAACACCACCAAGTGTGGTTCAATTTCTTACTCTTAAAACCCCCAAATTACTATCCAAAATATACAGAACACTTTCTAAAACAGATGAATCAATATCACTTCCTATTGCAAAATGGGAAACGGATTCATCAGTTAACTTAGACCTAAACTTCTGGTCTCAGATTTGCTTAAAAACCTTTCATCTAATTAGAAATCCCAGTCTTCAATTAATTCAATACAAAATATTACATAGAGTGCACTATACAGGTCATCGGATGTTCAAGATGGGCTTTACATCCTCCAACAACTGCTCACACTGCCAAACCAATTCACTGGACAATTACATCCACGCTCTTTGGTTCTGTCCACCAGTTCAGAAGTTTTGGCGCGAGATATGTGAAGACTTATCAAAGTGTCTGAAATGTAACATTCCAACTTCCCCCTTAGTGTGTTTACTGGGCAGCTTAGATAATGTCACTTCAGAAAAGAATATAGCCCATATGGTTTTCACTGCCCTATGCATAGCCAAGAAAACAGTCCTCCTAAACTGGAAAAATAAAAATAATCTTAATTCTAACCAATATAGAAATGATCTATTAGATTACATTAGTCTTGACACAGCCTCTGCCACCACATCAGGTCAATTGCTCTGGGCCCCTTTTATCAGCTCCATCACCTAGTGGGGGTGGGGGTCATAGTTTGGTCCCACCTTCGCTGTTGTGATTGGTGTGGGGGTAGGGACAGGCTTAGGGCGTCGGGGGGTTCCCTAGGAGCATCTTCCTTGGGGGGCTCAACCCGGGGTAGCGGTCATGGCCTATTAAGGGCTCTGTTGACTCTTAGGTGACGGTTTCCTTGTGGCTGCGTGCAGCGGGGCTAGGGGAGGGTCTGTGCTGATGGACGTGGGTTACTGACCTGGTAGTCTGGCTGCCCCTGGGTGGGTCCGGGATGGGCGTGAGGATCTGGGGGCGCTCCGTCTCTGGGCTGGGGCCCTGGCTGGGCCTCGGGGGCTTGGGTCCTGGTTGGTATGTTGCTGGGGTTGTGGGCGGGTGGGTGTATGGGGCTCGACCCCCATACAGCTGGCCCCAGGGAGGGGTCACTTGCCCCTCCCTTCCTTCCCTCCCCATCTCCAGCTGCCTCCCTCTTCCCGCTCCACCACAACCACCCGCACATGCAGGGCCTTGGGGTAAAGGTATGTCACCAGGGTGCAGAGGAGGCTACCCCCCCCCCCCTCTCTGTCCCCTTCTGGCTGCCTCTGCCTCAATTTTCCTAGCAGGAGGGACTATGCGCTTACCTGCTGCTCTCTGGCAGGTAGCTCCATGCCCTCCTGGGGTTTAAATGCACCTTAGAACACACATGCATCAACACTACAATGAGCGGGTGGAGGGAGGTTTGGAGTCTTCTCTCACCCCCGTTCTCTGTTGCCTGCTGGAGCGGGGGGGCTAGGAGGAGGAGTTGGCCGTCCGACTGGGGTCTGGAGTGTGGGGCCTCCCTGCTGCTGCAGAGTCAGGGCGGTCTGCTTCTCCCCACTGCAGGGAAAAGGGTAACACCACCTGGGTCTGGGTGCAGTTTCCCCCACCAGGGGCAAGGGTACCTAGACCCGGTTTGTAGAGTACGCTTGGGGAGTGTGATCGTGTGTACAGCGTCTCTTTATGTCTGTCTCCACGTTGGTTGAGTGTGGAGTAAGTGCATATGAGAGCATGAGGGTGGGAATGGATGTTTGTATCTGTGTGTGCCTGTATGTCTGTGTCTATATGTCAGGTTGGGTATCAGACGCCACCTCTCTGGGGACATCTCAGGTCCTCCAAGATTTGGAGGCCTATCTCCCCCTACCACCACTTCCCCTGCCGGTGGCGGACTCCCTCAGGTGTCGGTGCGTTGGTGGTTCTTTGTGTCCGGGGATGGGCGTCCAGGTACACACCGGCTCACTCCTTGGCGGCCGCTTATCGGGGCCTGGAGCCTGGGGCTCGCTCGGGCCACTTCGGGGGTTTGGGTGCCCTCGGCCCCTCGGCCTGGGATTCGGTCACTCAGGCACAGCTGGCTGCCGGTGGAGCTCACGGGCGCGTCACTGCAACCCCCCCTGGCTTCTGCTCCGCGGCTGCTGGGTGAACCCTCATCTGGGACTCTCCTCAGCTCTTACTGGAACAGTGGCGCGGCTGCCCCTCTGTTGGTCTTCCTTGGTCTCTTGTGTTCTGGGGGCCTCTGGATGTCTGGAGTTTTGATCTCCTCCATACCTGCTTCATGCCCTGGAGGACGGGGCTGTGGCCCCCCACACCCTCTAGCAGATCATTACATGAAGGAACCTTTTAAAAAAACAAGCGCGTCCATGCTCACAGGTGTACACACGGGTGATCACACCCACAAACTACACCCTTTCTGGCTCCTACCTCAAAGCACACTGTGTTCTGTTGATCTTATGTGCTGCACAATAATGTTTAATATTTAGTATTTACTGTCATATTCACATATATCATCGTGATGTTGTTTACTGTATTGCTCTCATTTTCTTCAGCTTGTTTTCTTTTTTCTTTCTCAACAGGTGATCCAGGTGATTGATATATGCATTTTTGTTGTCTGCTTATTTAGTTGTTTTTTGTTTTTTTGCCCTTTATCCCCGTCCCTCTTCTCAGCTGTTTTTCCCCCTCTTCCTTTCTCCCTTTTCTTTTCCTCATTCAAGTCTGTCCCATATCTAGCAAGTGAAAATAAAAAATAAATAAAATAAACAATAAAAGGTGAATCAAATAGACCATTACGGCAAGGCTGGGATGGTCAATTTGGTAAAGTAAATCCGTTGGGCATCTTTCTTTGCCTTTAGACAATAATTCTGATGCAAAAGAGCCAAACGGGACAGGCAAAAAAAAAAAATAAGTGGCTGAAGAAACACACTGACCTAAATCCTCTCAGAGACTCCAGCAGTTCATCTGTTGGACAAACAGCTGAGATAAATCTGTGTAAACTCACCATCATAGCAGAAGAAAGGCTTTCTTTGGTCACATCCAGCAGAGCTCCATCTTCCTGATCTCTCTAACAGAGTCGTTGCACATTTCCTGTTGTTTAGTCCATCATTAAATGAGTCCATGTCCCAGTATCTGAAAGAGAAGTTACTCCCATCTGACCACCTCCAGCTGTCTCTGAACAGGCCGATACACGAGGCTGTAGATTTCTGCAACTTCTTAAACTCTTCACTGTATATCTGATCGAGTCCACTGGTCAGGTCGGTGTGATGCTGTCTGTAGTAGCTCTGAGCCTGAGTCCAGGTCACAGACGTCTCAGTCAAATGAAAGGTTTTGTTGTTTTTCATCGTTTCTGTCGAGTCAACAGAAAAACACAAAAACATCTTTATCAGCTAATCCGTCTCCTTCTTAAAACTGCCTCTTTCAAGAACATGTGATATAACACAGATTATAAACTACATTATAACATTATTAAGTATTGTATTATCATATTACTGTCCACATATTCTCACCGTTATAGCAGATGAACTGAAATGTGTGAGTACATGGGAAATCTATCCACGCCATGCTTGTCATTACACAGTTCTCAGGGTATGCTCCATCATCTGGCTCTGTACCTCCCCAACAGGTCTTATTTTCAGTGTATTCCTCCCCCGGCAGAGACCAGTGCCACGTCCTGTTGTCTCTTCCTGGCTCGCTGTACAGTCCAATCCAGGCTTGTGTTTGACTCTGTGCAGAGTCTTGAAGTCTTCTCATGTCTGTCAGGTCAAACACTTTGGCCAGGTCTGTGTAGCTCTCTCTGCAGTATGCCCGTGCTTCATCCCAGCTCATCTCTTCTTTAATAAAGTGGTACTCATACAGCTGACATGTGATGAGGACACACTGACCTGAAACAGAAGAAATACTGTTGAATATCTGCTGATACAAGCAGGAAACTCATGTTCCCATCAAACTGTCCAGTTTACAGGTCAATCCTTGATTTTCTCAGTAAGGGTTCATTTGTTTAATGAGTCCTGATCAAACTAAAGGATTTCAGGTGGAAACAATCAGGAGTCCTGGTAAAATGATCACTCACCCATCAGAAGAAGCAGAAACAGACTCCACTGCATCGTCGCTCTGTCACATGAAAATGACTTTTCTTTCATTTAGAGGAAACAATGAATCCAGCAGCTCTTCAGTGTTTGATGGACACGCAGCACTTTATATTAAACACAGATATCTAGTTTGTCACACACTGCTGTAAGAAATATATGATTGTTCTTAATAAATGATCATCTGTTTAAAATTGTCCATGAAGACAAAAGCAACAGTTCAAATGTGGTCCACACAGCACCTCTGTACACAGACATGAAATGAGCCTGCAGGTTTGAAACTTACATCTGGTTCTTCTCTGGTGTTCATGCAGACAGCTGTGCAGTAAATAACCATCTGTACTAAGACACACTGTCTTTGTACTCAGTATTTCAATATGAAAATATAGAGTTTTTCCCACTGACTCAAAGACACACTGTTAATATCAGTTACATAGGGACTCATTTACATTAAGCTCTGGAAAGAAGAAACACTGGACTGTCCAACAAGCAGAAAGAGGAAGTTTCTAATATCCAAATATGATAGCAGAGGTACACATGGACAGGTCACCACTCTGTGACACAAACATGAATATGAGTCTGTTGATTTTTGAGGATATAAACATAACGCTGTCTGTACTGATAACTATCACTGGATCACTCTGACGCTGACATGATCTTATAAACCTGTCAAAGACTTTTGTGTGCACTGGTGCAGCAGTCACATGTTCAAGCTGAATAATCACACACACGCCACTTTTCAGTTATTTATTTATAACAAATGTTTGGAATCATGTATGATTTCCGTTCCACTTCTCACGTGTGCACCACTTTGTGTTGGTCTTTCATGTGGAAGTCCAATAACATTGATTCATGTTTGTGGCTGTAATGCGACAAAATGTGGGAAAGTTCAAGGGGGCCGAATACTTTTGCAAGACACTGTAGCTCTTTTCATTTTTAGTATTTGCTGGCCAGACTATATACAGACATTTAGAAAGAAACAAAACAGACAGTTTTTTCAGCTTTATACTTAAGTGGAAACTGATATTGAACATGAACAAAATGTAACACAACACCAACTTTAAATATGAAATATAAAAAATATGTATAAAAAGGTTTTTCAGCCTGGGCCACACTGGAGTTTTTAAATCTCCTGCTCTTTTTTTGTGCGTTGCCACTTCTCCATTCCTGCCTCTCTGCTCCGTGCATCATCATCAATCAATCATCAATTCTTATCTGTGATTGGACTGTAATGATGCACAGTAAAGTTTAGTAAAGCTCGTCTTTGAAATGTCTCTCTAGCCCAGTTGGTGGAGGAGCTACGGCATTGCAAAACACTGACGGTAAAACCTAAGCAGAGTTCAGACAGCAGTAGCCTGTGAATGCTTTGTGCTACCGTAATACACCAAATATCCCGTAAAGAACAGCTTCTCTTCTTTTCAAAGTGGATGCGAGTCCTGAAGGATGACATGCTCCAATCCAGAAATCTCTATGGCAGCGGTCCCTAACCTTTTTTGCGCCACGGACCGGTTTATGCCTGACAATGTTTTCACGGCCTTTAAGGTGTCGCAAATAAACACCACAAAAGAAAATTAGCACCGCTAACGAAAAAAGAAGATTTATTCATAACACGCGTTTAAAGACCCACAAAAACCGAGTTAACGACAAAAACAAAAATAACACTAAAAACCGCTAAAAACCCTGAAAACCATACATTTTACACCCGAACCTCAACTCTCACAGCCCGGCACCAAACGACTCGGGGTTGGGGGACCGCTGCTCTATAACATATTAAGCACAGATGGTAAACTGCAGTCAGACCCTGAATACATTTTCTTCTTTTGGCACAGATATTGTTTCAGTTATTCTTTGGTGTGCTGACATATTGGCTACACCGTCATCAGTCTGCTAAACACAGGAAGCAGCTGACTTTAAAACATCAGAGAAAACCAGGACCAGGAACAGCCTCAGTTTGTGGGAACCAGGATACGACCTGGAGAAAGAAGAAGAGATGAGGACACAGTCACCAGCAAACTCTGAAAGCACTTCATGGAAGCTGATTTTAAACTGAGCAATACTGATGATTCAGAAAAGTTTCATGTTTTAGGGATTGGACAAGGACCAAGAGTTCTCTGAAACCAGTAGAAAACCTGCGTTTGAATGCAGCCAAAAACTAACACTTGTCTGAAAATGTACAGTATTATTCTAGAAATGTGTGAAACTGGCCTTAACCTGCCCAAAAGTGTACATTTTAAAACATCAATATATTAAAAAAAATATTGATGTAAACCTGATCAAAACCAGTTTTAGACCCATCGTATGTGGTTTGAGATTTTGTATCTCTGAACGGTTTCAGTCTGGTCTGAACTGGTTTCTGGTCTGAACTGGTTTCTGGTATGAACTGGTCTGTGAGTGAGAGTGGTTCTCTGACCTCGAGCTCTCTGTCTGTAGTAGATGAACCCAGCCAGAGACAAGATCAGACAGAGGAGCAGTCCTGAGGCGCCGACGGCAAGCTTGTCCCTCTCTGTCTTAGGCATGAATGAGGATGAGGAGGGATCTGAGTCACACAGGTGAGGGTCAGACAGGTGGAGAGACAGACAGGTGTGTACAGGTGTGTAGATACAAGCAGACAGGTATTTACCCCAGTTAGTGATCAGAGGTTTCTCCAGGCTGGCGTGCTCCACCACACAGGAGATCTTCTCTCCAGACCTTCGACACAAACATTAGTGACTCTCAGATCTGGACTTTAAATGTTTAAACTTTAGCACTATTATTATCATGATGCTCACCTGGGTGTGTACTCCAGGTAGCAGTGGGTCTGGTAGTACCAATCCCCATCCTCCATCTCCTCAGTGGAAGTGACATCAGAGGTGACTTCCTGTCCGTCTCTGTGCCAGCTCACTTTGATCTTACTGGGAAAGAAGTCATAGACACTGCAGACCAACATGGCAGGATGGTGACTGGAGAGAGGCGTGGTGGAGTGAAGTTTGACAGTGGGCGGAGCTGCAAGACATTATTAGTTTGTATTATCATTAACGTTCTCTGTATAATTTGAATGCATTTATTTAAAAGGCACAGTGCATATTAATAGTGTGGGTGGAGTGCTGCTGACTTCGACTGAGGACATTGTCAGGCAGTGGAAGGAATACTTCGAGGACCTCCATAATCCCACTGACACGTCTTTCGTGGAGGAAGCAGAGCCTGGCGTTGAGGGGGAAGACCCGCCAATGTCCAGTGAGTCAAGTCACTGAGGCAGTTAAACTACTCGTTGGTGTCAGAGCCCCTGGGTTCAGCCTGAGTTCCTGAAGACTCTGGATGTTTTGGGGATGTTTTGGTTGTGTTTGGGGTGGTACCTCTGGATTGATTCCCATCTTTAAGAAGGGGGACTGGAGGATGTCTTACAACTATAGGGGGATCACACTACTCAGCCTCCCTGGGAAGGTCTATGCCAGGGTGCTGGAAAGGACAGTCCGTCCGTTATACATGGAACACTGGACCAGCTCTTCATCCTCTTAAGGATACTCAAGGGTGCATTGAGTGCATTGAGGGAGTTTGCCCAACCAGGCAGGAGGTCAGGAGGAGGTGGCCTCCAGCTCGCACTGGAATGGTTCACAGCCGATGAGAATCAGCGCCTCCAAATCTGCAGCCATTCTCCTCAGAAAAAGAATGGAGTGCCCACTCCAGGTTGGGGACGAGTCCTTGCCACAAGTGGAGGAGTTGAAGTATCTTGGGGTCTTGTTCACGAGTGACAGGAGGTTGACAAACAGATTGGACAGCTGAGTGTAAAAGCAGGGCTCTCGATCTACGTCGATCTACTGCCCCACCCTTACCTGTGTTCACCAGCTGTGGGTAGTGACCGACAGAGCGAGGTCTGGATAAGATCCCACCAGGAGGAGGCCCAAAGGCAGACCCACGACCAGTGTTGGGTAAGTTACTTTAAAAAAGTAATTAATTACTAATTACTAATTACTTAGTCAATATTGTATTTAAAATACTTATCTAATTACTGTGCCAGAAAAGTAACTTAATTACTAAATAAGTAATTTAACTAAATACTTCTTAAAATCCCTATAAACCTTGAGTGGGCAAACAATAGAAATTAAACTCTTTAATAATAAATATTTTTTAAAGACGGAGACTACAGTACGCAGCGGCAGCATCTCTTCCACAGTGTAGCCTGCAATCATTCTTTAAGCTCCCCTTCAGATGCTTTCTGTGCTGCTGAAGTAAAATCAGGTTTTGCTGCTTAGCAGGAGTTGCCATGTTATCCATGGATGATGAACAAGGATCACTCAGAAGTGTTCATCTATGCTCTGTGTCAGGCGCTTCAGTAGATTACTATTAACAGCAGCCGATAGTTTTTACATATTACTGTAATGTTCTTGTCTGCTTGTTTCAGAAAAGTGAAGATACGGGAATATGTCCATGTCATAAAACTCGCTTCAGCCGAGTCCAACATCTTACGCTGTAGAAAACGACTGTGCAGCAAACTGGCGCGAAATGACGCGCAGCTGCACTACAGCCATGTTAAAGCGGCAGAGTTTACTTTTACGTTTAGAAGATAAATTAATGAAATTAAATAATGATATTCAGCGAGTTTTATTATTTTACAATGTAACACAAGTACATTGTAAGTAACTGTAATTAAAATACCTAAAAATGAACAGTAATCAGTTACTCTACTTTTTCAGTGGAAAAGTAATTTAATTACAGTAACGCATTACTTAGTAACGCATTACACCCAACACTGCCCACGACACACTGGAGAGATTATATCTCTCGGAAATCCAAAATCTGCTGTGGTGACAGCACAGAATGAAAGCTGCTGTTGGTTGTTGTAGTCAAAGTTATATATATTTGATAGATACGTTTATTTGATTTACAATATGTTTCGATTTAAAATTTTAACAAAATTAAAGTCAAAACTCTGAGCTTCTGATTAATGAAAGTTTTACATTATCATTCTAGGTGGTGGTTGCTAGGCGACAGGACCTGAACTGGAAGAGCTGATGGTGTAAATCTGTGGGCTGCAAACAACGGTGGAGGAGCTTGTGATCGAGGCCCCGATGGAAGGCACAGAGTGTACCATCCGGGGCCTGCAGGGGGCGCTTTGCCTGTTTAATTAATCATATTTGTAACCAGTCACACAGATGGGTCAGATAAGAGAGGAAACTTCTCACACGTTTCTTTCTCTGAGGTTGCACCGTCTCACTCCAGAGAGGAAGTTACTGTTGTAAACAGCCTGCTCGTGCGGTTCAACATTCATGCTGTGTTTAGGTGCACTCGTAGATCTAACCATCTATAACCCAAAAGCAGAACACACAGGATGACTTCACACTATCAGACAGCTTCCCCTGCACTCTCTGTTTCTGATGTTACACAGTCACAGCTTGTGTGTGTTTACGTTTCACTGATCAGTCAGGTCAGCCTGTCAGCACAGCAGCTGTTTCAGCATTTCAGCTCACTTTACTGCAAAGATGCTGTAGAGAGTGAAACACACACAGATTAAATAACAGCAGTCACATTTATATGTGTGTGTTCTGATGATAACTTTATAAGTGTTGCCTCATATTGAATAACTCCACTGTTACACTGAGTCATAGATCTGAGCTGTAAATGTTTGCAGGTGTGAAGCTGCTAAACAAGCTGTGAAGGTCACAACCAATAATTGAACTGCAGACATCAGTGCTTCATATTTGTCATATTTAAAATAGATGAATAAGATGAAAAGAAGGAAATAATTAACCTGTCAGGCTGCTCCGTGCTGTTAAAATATGTATATGGAAATATTAAAAAACAATTGTGGATGATTTTTCAGCTCAAACAGTTTAAAAAAAATAATATCACAATGAGTGTGTTATGAGGAACAGCTGCAGTTTGCCTGTGTCACCAGCAGGGGGCGCCGCAGGTCAGAGTCGTTCTCTGGCGTCTTATGTTCCGTGATCGATGATTTATTAAAGTTATTAATCATCAAAATTAGCTGCAGCTGTGAGTCCATCATAAATGATTCAGAGTGAGGTCAGCAGGAACACCTGATGATGTCACACAGACCACGCACGCTCACCTGATTTAGACATAAGGTTGTGGTATCTAACATCAATGTTTGGTTTGCAGTACGTCCCCTTCTGAGCCCTCATGGTAGCCAGCCTTGCAGGAATATTGTTCCAGGCCTCTGCGGTCTTCACTCCAAAGTCAGTGAATCCAACAAACGTCCCCACATTGCTGTCAAACCTGATGATCTCTATCATGTTGTAATAGTAAGAGTCGGTGAACCGGATGTCCTTCAGCTCCGTGGAGTTAAAGTCACAGCGAGACAGTCTGTAAGTCATGAATCCATCTGAGAACAAACAGAACATCAGACCGAGGGCGAATCATGTCATTGATCAGTGTATTAGTGATCACTGGTGAGCGTGTTGATGGTACCTGCTGTGCTGAGGCTGATGAAGAGGAGGCAGAGGAAGGATGAAGCCATGTTTCTAAGTTCTGCAGACAAACTGACTCAGTCTGACGGAATGCTGCTCGAGAAACAGGAAGTCAGGTCACATGACCACAGCATCATCTGTTGCTGTGGGATCAGCTCATAGTTCACACCCTTCACCTCCACGTGTGTTTCTGTCCGTTAAAGCTCTGAAAGCAGAGCAAACTGAAAACCTGCTTTCATTTACGTTTCAGTCACAGTCTGCAGTCATGGAAACATATTCGTGTGTAATAGTTATCTGCACCCAACACTGATGTCAGACCTGCTGTAACAATGAGAAGAACCTGTAACAATGACAGTGATCAGATTTACAATCAACTCTGTGGGTGTGTGGGACTCGTGTGTGGCTGATGTTCCTGCGTGGACGCCACAGTGTGATGTCATCATGGCGAGCTCTTCAGAGCAGCTGGATCACATTTCACTGTTACATTAACATTACACTCAATCTGCATTTAAATATTCAAGCAGAGAAATTCAGATTCACATTTATAAACCATTAACAGTCAGACTGCAGCAGATGAACTTCAGCTCGTATTAATGTTGTGTTATTGAAGAGTATTTACATCACAATATGAAGCTGCTTCAGCTGACTGTTGTTGTGATTTTGTGCTGTAGAAATTAAACTGAATTAAATCCATATTCAGAGTAAATTTAAATGCCAGATATTAAAACATCTGGAATATAAACATGTTAGATTCATTTCTATAAACACTCACTGATTTTTCTTTCACCTGCTTTCATCAGCAGAGTCTTCATCAGGATTTAGTTTGACATCTTTGTGTTTGCAAAGACAAATTCAGACATCATTAATGTTCATTCTGTTAGAGCTCAAAGTCTGACTCCACACACACACACACACAGAATCTGTCATTAAACTTTATTGATATATGAAAATCTGAAACACGGTTTGGTAAACAAAGACACATTATAGGAGTTTATGAACACTGAGGTCACATCAAACTGATCTCAGTCTCATCACTTTTGTGGCAGGAACAGAGTCCAGGTAAAATCTGCTGGTGGTGCGAGAGCAGCTGAAAATAGCTTTGCTTTGAATTCCAGAGTTAAACTTTATTGACACCAGCGGCTGACGGCACAGCTCATACAGATGTTCCATTATTAAGCACGTCAGGTGAGGCAGGTAAACCAGAACAAAGGATCTGATGCTCATTACAGGCGAACTCTGCACACTCACCTACAGCACAGTCACACTGATTAGGAGCTCGTCATAGAATGACATCGTCACCGTGAGCCAATCAGCTGCACTCGTTTCCTTTGATGAGGAAGAAGGTTCCAACAGCCACACCGAACAGACCGAGAGTCAGACCCACTCCACAGAACACAGAGGGTCCAACACCTGGATCAGGCTGAGCAGACGCCTCCACATCTGGAGACACAGACACACAGAGAGAAACAGGATGACATGTATGTCTATGTAACTATATACACTCTACATCTACCTGCACTGAGCATGTGCACTGTAACTTTCACGCAGACTCTTGAACATGTTTTTAATCACCTGGGTCATTAAGTGAAACCAAGAAAAGCCAAATCTGGAAGCATTTTAATGTTGTTGACAACACAAAGCCAGAGTGTAGAGGATATCATACGGAGCCGCTCCACAAACTGCACAGGCTCCTGACAGCTGTCCACCCATCAGTGCAATGGGAAGATGAAACACAGTCAGTTGAGTGTGAAGGTGCCAGTGTGTCTGCAACTGTTGCTGCTGCTGCATCTACAGCAGCATGCAGTACACCACCACATCCACCTGAACCAACCCAGAGCCCAAAGCAAAAAAAATGTAAATAGTTTAAATTTGAATTGTAAACAGACAAAAAACAACTATTTTTTACATTTTATGTGGAGTGAATAAATAAAAGCACATTTACATAACAAACATATATAAAGAAAACACAATTTTTTACATTAGTCATTCATTTTATGCATAATCTTATATGGGTGTTAATAATAAATTAGTTAAAGCAACAAAACAACCTGAAGAGCCCCAAGAATGAGGTAACTATGAAAAACTATGGTGATTATGAGCACTGTGACATGACATGGAGGGGAAATACACAGACGACCTGACAAAGAGTGAATGAAACACACACTAAATACACACAGGAGGTGATCAGGGCAATGGAAACAACACATCTCCAAATATAATATAAGAAATTAAAATACACTCAAACAGCTGGATCACAGCTCTTCCCAAACAAGTAGGAATGAAGGCAAAGTAGCTACACTTGAGCATTTTAGAGGAAAAGAAACATTTAAATTCAAAGAACAAAAATATCTGTCTGGGAAAAGAAAAACAGGAATAACAGCTGTGTGATGCAGAACTGATCAAGTTATAGCTTCGAATCACTAGAATAGCTGATTAACCTCCACATATGTGGACATCACATCTTAGGTTGTCTGGACCATTATAGACATTATACTGTCACTGCTCGATCAGCATTTAAAACAAATGTCCTCATATGTGGATCTCATTTTTCTCAGAAACAAAATCAGGTTTAAAAAAGAAAACAGGTAATTCTTTGTTTCTACCCTCATCAGGTCCCAATCAGCCCAAACAGCAAAGAGAGATTAGAAATGCCATGAAAGAGAGAGAGGGAGGGAGGGTCTTAGGAGGGACAGTAAGAGCACAGTTAGGTGTTGTGTGGGAGACAATCATAAAGAGATCAGTGGTATCTGAAACACTTGCCTTGATGCTGGTCAGACTGCGTGCAATCCTTCTTCTATGGCTAAAATAGAAACAACATTTCAAAGAGCATCAGAGAAGCATAAAACACGAGGCCTTCACCCTGCAAAGCCCAAAGTGTCAGGCTTGAACCAGGAACTAAGTTTTTGAGAGTCCCACAACATCAGAGGGATTTTTACTGCCCAACAAAAGAAGTAAATTGCACTTTATATGTTTAAGGAATGAACTGAGAATGAGAAAGTAAGAGATGCAGGAAGTCACACACACACTGGAGAGTGTGATTAGACAGTTTGTGGAAGAGGAAACATGTAAGCGAGAGGAAAAGGAAGTTAAAGAAAGGGAGAGTAAGAAGAGGTCGAGCTCACAGGACGAGAAAACAGTTACTTAACTGATGTTTGCACACACTCGCAATAACGACTCTCCTGACATGAAGGAAAACAGATAACTGCTCACAGATGAAGGAGCTCACCAACTGAAGGGTACAACACAGATCAGCAGGCCAGAGCCTGTGGAGGAGCAACACCGGCAGTATGCAGGCCGGGGTCACCGATGGGGCCTGCACAAAGGTGGAGTGGAGGAGTCAGGCGGAGGACGACGTCTAAGGGTTGGCAGGCGTAGGAGGGGAACAACTATCACCTAACTATCCATCATATCTGCAGTGGACCACATGAAGCAGCTGCATCACTGATCCTCCCAACAAACTCCTAAGATTAAAGCCCAGAGCTCCAGCCCTCGTCTTACTGTATTTCATTACTCTGTATTTATATGTTTATGATGGCCCCAATGAGCATCACATTATTGAAGGGATGAGACCTGCACAGAGGGATTTACATAAACGTTACATCATGTAGGGATTATGTGTTGTGGTGCTGGCTTGATGGTAAAAAGAGTTTGAGTCTTGTAGTCCGAGCAGACAGACTCCTGTAACGTCTGCCAGATGGTAACAAGGAGAACAGCTGATGTGCTGGGTGGCTGTGGTCCTTGATGATGCTGTGTGCTTTGAGACACTTCTGGGGATAAAATCCTGAGTGGCAGGAAGCCTCGTGCCAGTGATGCTCTGTGGCTTCCTGCTGCTGCAGAGCAGCTTCTGTTCCAAACTGTGATGCAGCTCGTCAGCAAGCTCTCGGTCTTAGATTGTAGAAATTTGGAGGGATGGTTGGCGTTCATGCCAAACTTTGCAGATATGTAACATGGAGGGAGGAGCAGAGGTGACCTTTGACCAGCCACTCAAGGCACTTGATGATGACGGATGTCAGTGCAACAGGGCGGTAGCATTTCAGACAGGAGACCTCTGATTTCTTAGGAATGGGGATGATGGTGGTTGTTTTGAGGGATGTGGGGACCCCTGACTGCCTCAGGGAGAGGTTGAAGATGTTGGTGAACACCCTGCCAGCTGGTCGGTGCATGCTCTGAGAACCCGGCCTGAGATGCCGTCCGGTCCCGGAGCTTTGTGAAGATTGACCTTTTTGAAAGACCATCTCACAGCTTCTGTGTTAAGAGTATAAGTTACAGCCTCACTGTGCTCCTGAGGATAGAGCAGCGGCTCCTCGTTGTCTGCAACAAAACAAGCGTAGAAGTTGTTGAGCTCGTCTGTGAGAGACGCTGTGGGCTGGACACTGCCGTGTTTTCCTTCTTGTAGTCAGTGATGCAGCGTAGTCCATTCAACAGGCGCCTGGCGTCAAAGCTGTGGTAGCTGGACTCCACTTTGTCCCTGTAGTCCTTTGTGGCCCCTTTTCAGAGGTCGTACCTGGCTGCTTCATATGCATCAGAACGCCCTGAGTTAAAGGCAGAGGTCCGCACTTTGAGCTTAGCAAGAATGTCCTTATCTACCAGGGTTTCTGATTTGGATATTTGCAGACGGTGGTTTTAGTGATGATATCGTCCATGCATTTTCCAATATATCCAATGACAGAGTTCATTGATGTTGCCATCAGCTGCACCCTCAAACATCTGTCGGACCTCCTCACTCTCACTGTCTCATTTAAAGTGTTGCTGACTCAGAGCTCCTGTCTGTGCTGATATTACGGTGTCAGAGCACCTGTTGATGCATTCTGCTTGTTGCGAGATTTAACAACCAGGATTAATATGTGGCGTTTGACTGTGTCGTGACCTATTGTGATAATGCAAAGCAAAGAGTTCATCAAAGGGCCCCCAGCTGCAGATAACCCTGATCCAGAGCCCTGACCAGCCCCTGACCCAGCACCAGCTGTTTTTGGCTGGAGGACGAGTGGAAAGTTACCCTGCAGCAGCAGCAGGAGGTGGAGTTACTGGCCCCTATAAAGAGAAGCCACAGAGACATCTGCTCTGTCTGTCTCTGTGTTGCTCTGCTGTCTGTACTTAAGGCTCTACAGCCCACAGTTTGCTTTGCTTGCTTTGCTCTGTGTCGTCTTGCTGTTCTCTGTATGTTCTTACTTACTGTTCATATGATTCAGTGTATTAAACTCTGTTCCCATCGTTGGTGGGATGAGATGATCATATTGGCTCCAAAATGTGTGACAAAAATCATCGTGTCAAACTATCAGATCAGATCCAGCTGCTCTGATGAACACTGGCCTCAGTCTTTTGTTTAAATAAAGTTTTCTTACTATAGATCTTGGTCAGTGGTTCAGTCAGGGCCAGATGTCGCACTGTGCAGCTGTAGATGTCTCCCAGCTGTGCGGTGAACTGCAGTCTGGAGATCTGGGTGAAGGGTCCATCTTTGTTGGGATAGGGAACGTTGGTGCTGGATCCTTCTGTGACCTTCTGTCCGTTCTTGGTCCAGGAGACGTTGACAGGAGCAGGATAGAAACCAGTCACGTGACAGATCAGAGTGTTCTCCTCTCCAAACTCCACCTCGTCTCTGGTGTAGATCATCACAGCTGAAGGAGCATCTGTGCACAAACACATCAGGCAGAGGATCAGAGCTTCAGCTGGTTCCCATCGATCGTGATAAACATCAATGACTTGTTCAGTCATTCACTGAGATGATGCCATCATTGTCTGTGTGAGAGAAACTAGAGAAACAGGAGCACAGACAGAACTCTGCTCAGCTCCAGAGAAACTAATGAAGAAAAATAAATGTGGTCTTTAATAGAAACACAAATAGAAACATGTCAATTTCTAAATGTGTTTAAGGTGGAATGATTTCATACCTTTAATCAGTTTGTTTCACTGGCTGTGTTTGATTGGACTGATCATTTCAGGTAAACACAGGTGAGGTGAGACACACGTTAAATGTTTGTATTTACGGTTATTGGAAGGGTAGTCCTTCATCACCGCGCCAAGAGCCTTCAGGTTGTGTCTGCAGACCTTCAGCTCAGTCACAGCTTGTTTATAAGCGCCGGGGTAAGTCATAGGATCGGCAAAAGGAGGCAGCATGTAGACTTCCGTGTGGTTGTTAAAGTCTGCGTAGGCAACCTCCTCCCCATCCAGTCCATACATGTCCTCTGCATCGAAGTCTGAACAGCCGTTTATATGAACGTCACCATGCAGACCTGAAATGAAACACCGATCAATAAGCTGCTGCCGGCC